GTATATATTATGGGTCCCACAAATACAGCTGAATATGATACACCAGCAGAGGACCTTCCAATAAAAACACATTACTTTTGCATGGGGGACACCTTTTTCTAATAGCTGTGTTGGTCTAGAGCAATATATATATATACTATGAAGCTCCATTAGAGCAGTGCAATTTTTTTTACAAAGACTCCGGCGGAGTAATGCAATTTTTTTAGAGAAGACCCCGGCGGAGAAATGCAATTTTTTTTTTACAGAAGACCCCGGCGGAGCATTGCAATTATTTTTAAAACAACTTCGGCAGAGCAATGCAATCTTTTTTTTTTAAAGAGCCTGGTGGCCCAACACAATTTTTTAAGAAACAACTCCAGCAGAGCAATGTATATCAAAGAGAACTAAGGAAAATAATGGCCAAAGTATATCTTAATAACTCAATCAATGAGGAGAGTGTCTACTGCTAACATAAAAGAATTTTACTAATGAAGGGTGATGAGGTAAATTATCTGTGGACCTACATACATGTATCTCAAAGAGACTCTGGTGGAGAAATGCAACTTTTGTTAAATTGGTTCTATTGGGGCAATGTATATGAGAGGGAACTTGAATTCAAAGAATGTTTCTACTGGAGCAAAATATCTTCTAAATGGCTCTGCTGGAGCAATGTATTTTTTTTTTCAATAGCTCTGCCAGAGTTATGTATTTCTTTTAAAATGGCTCCACTGCAGCAATTTTTTTTTTATAGGTAGTTCTGTTTGAGTAGGCTCCGCCGGAGCAGTGCAATTTCTTATAACAATGATGCCACCAGAGTAAAGCATTTTCTTTTCATGGCTCTGCCAGAGCAGTGCAATTTCTTCTAAAGATAGCTCTGGCAGAGCAGTGTATTTTTTTTTCAATGGCTCCACCAGAGCAATATATATATCTTTGAATGGCTCTGCCGGAGCAGTGCAATTTCTTCTAAAGATAGCTCCGCCGGAGCAGTGTATTTTTTTCAAAATGGCTCCGCCGGAGCAGTGCAATTACTAATGATAGCTCCAGCGGAGCAGGGTATTTTTTTTTTTCAATGGCTCCGCCGGAGTAATGTATTTTCTTAAAAACAGCTCCACTGGAGCAATGCAATATTTTAAACAATGGCTCCACTGCAATGTAACTTTTTCAAATGCCTCTGGTGGAGAAGTGCAATTTGTTTCAAAATAGCTCCGCTTGGGCAGTAAAACTTTTATAAAGTTGCTCTGGCGGAGTAGTGATTACTTTTTGAGATACAATCCGCATGATGTAACAATGACTTTTAACTCACATAAAAACCATCTCTGTCAAGCTGGAGAAGGCAGAATTCGAATGAGCTAGGCCCAACAATAAGTTGTTCAGGAGAAAGATAAGTCTTGATGGTTTTACTGTAAAATGTACCATTTCGCACTTTGTTTGAGGTCTGCAAAATTTAATAATGAGTTTCAACCCATGTAGAAACCACCTTTAAAAAGCTTGGAAAAGCATGATTCCAACAAGCTATGCCCGATGATAAGTTGTTTGGGGAAGAGAGAAGTCTTGACGGTTTTATTGTAAAATATAGCATTTCACACATTGTTTGAGCTCCACAAAATGTAATAATGAGCTTCAACCCATATAAGAACCACCTTTGAAAAGCTTGGAAAAGCATGATTCCAACAAGCTAGGCCCGATGATAAGTTGTTCAGAAGGAAAAAAAAGTCTTGATGATTTTCATTGCAATGCCATAATGCAGTCAAGATTTGATAGAGATTATTGACGTAAAACACCTTTTCCTATGTTTGTCTATGAAAACAAAACATCTCTCAAAGATTTTTACATAGTAATTAACATGGCAGCTATGTCTATCAACTGGCTGGTTTGGAGGTTATATGGCTTGAAAATGGGTGAGTGCGTTGCTATTCGTCGGGATGCAGGGTCTGTTTGCATCCGGCGGAGGGTCTGTGCACCAGGCGCATCACCTCAATTTGGAAATGACCCAGGCACAGATTTCAACTTTGATGGGTCCCTGCCCAGGAACAAGCAGGATAACTGGACCATCCCTGTTGCGGCAATGCCTTTTCACAATATGTGGCCCTGCATGATGAATACTTGGTTACCTCTGGTTATCAGCAACAGAGCTCATATTGTCTGAGGACCATTAGATTTGTGGTGTTTTAGGAGGTAATGTGCAGTGCTTAGCTTGGCAGAGGATAAAAATTTGGCAGAGGTTGATGGCAGGTTGGTTCTGCGGAGTGTGATAAAAGAATTACATCACTGGCGGAGAAATGTTTGTTGGTGGGTTGCCCTTGCGATGTACTTAATTACCTACATGTCTGAAGCTCATTCAGATAGGCCATTATGTTTGTGAAGGCAATGTGTGGTGGCTGGTCCTATTGGATATTATAAAAAGAAATTACATCACCGGCGAGGTAATATTTGCGGAAGGATTGCCCTGCTGGTGTAGTTAAATATCTTTTTGAAGTCAATGTGTGAAACTCATTGTAACAGGCCATTATACAAATTTTGCTATGTTTGTGGAGGCAATGTGTGGTGACTGCTCCCACATGGTGGTCCATCGGAGTATTGTAAAAAGAATTACATCATTGACAGAGCAATATTTGCAGAAGGATTGCCCTGCCGATGAACTTAATTTATTCTATTATAAAATTTTTGTTATGTTTTCGGAGGCAATGTGCAGTAGGCTGGTCCCGCATGGTGGTCCGGCGGAGCATCACAAAAATAATTACATCACCAATGGAGTAATATTTGCCAAAGGATTGCCCTGCTGATGTACTTAAATAGCTTTGTGTTTTTGTGGTACTCCACTTTTAATGCCTCAAAAAGAAAAGCACTACTCCGACAGAGTCATTAAAAAAAATACATTGAATCATTTTGCACTTCTCTGCCAGAGTCTTTTTTAAAAAACAGCACTTCTTCGATGGAGCTTCATGATATATATATATATTGCTCTAGACCTCCAGCAGAGCTATTAAAAAGAAGGAATTTCATTTTTATATTGAAGTCACAAAAGAAATTATCATTGCTCTACCTAAGCATTTCATTTTTCTTTTATGCTACCAGCAGATACTCTCCTCATTGATTGAAACACTTGGTTATCATTTTCATTAGTTCCCTTTAATATACATAGCTCTGCCGGAGTTGTCATTAAAAATATTGCATTGCTCCGCCGGCATTGTCATTAAAAATATTGCATTGCTCCGCCGGCGTTGTCAAAAAAATATTGCATTGCTCCGCCGGAGTTGTTAAAAAAAATATTGCATTGCTCCGCCGGAGTTGTTAAAAAAAATATTGCATTGCTCCGCCGGAGTTGTTAAAAAAAATATTGCATTGCTCCGCCGGTGTTGTCAAAAAATATTGCATTGCTCCGCCGGCGTTGTCAAAAAATATTGCATTGCTCCGCCGGAGTTGTTACAAAAAATATTGCATTGCTCCACCAGAGTCATTATAAAATATTGCATTGCTCTGCTGGGGTTGTCTTTAAGAAATATTGCATTACTCCACCCAGGTCTTAAATACCTTTGCAGATTGAATGTGTGGAGCCTCTTCTGACAGATCAATCCAGTATTTGTCATTTATGCAGAGGCAATGTGTGGTTTAGTCCAGTGGAGTGTCTTACAGAAATTTCATGTCACTGGTGGAGTGGTCCGGCGGAGTATCATAAAAAAATTACATCACCAGTAGTGAAACATTTGCCTCACTGGTTGAACTAAACACTTTTGGCAAAGGAAATGCATGAAGCCTCTCCTGACAGAACATTATAAAAATGTTATCATTTCTTTTGGAGGCAATGTGCAGTGCTTAGTAGCTCCAATCAAATCATAGCAAACAACATACATAGATTGACAATATTATGCATGATTTGTATGAGCCAGGCTTGTAATTCTAAGTGTTCATTATGATCATGACCGCCGGTGCAATATTTAGCCCCGGCGGAGGGCAGCTCCGCAGGAGGATATGGCAGTCAAGGTACACCCAGCTACTCCAATCATATGGGGCATTGTTGCTGATGGCCAGCCCATGGTTACTGGGTGATTGTACAGGGTCTGGCTGCCCCTTCCATATTGGGGCCCCACCATCAAACCGGCCGGGCCGGCTGGGCCCTTACCACATGGTTGTTTGTCAGGGCCGGGTGGCCCATCACTATTGGGCCATGATGACTAACATAACTGAGATATTTATGTAACATACGGAGGCTCAAGAGATACATGAAACGTGTCTACCCTTCCTCCAGTCTTGAACGCCTCGCATTGACCAGAAAACCCATCCCTCGTTGTTGGTCGTCGCGCTAAACATTGTCGGCTTTGGGGTCTACTGGTACTCATAGCCTGTCGGATCCAAAATCTTCCCTCTTGTTAATTTCTCCGATGAATTGTCTTTGCACGCATTGCTACAAAAGTAATCACTCTCTCTTTGTGGGCTATTCAGGCACATGATGCAGGGATCCCCGGCATTTGGAGCCATTTCGCGCCTGCACCGTTGCGACGATTGTAATCAACAAACCCTTTACAACCCTCTGTCTCTGTGAACGACTCACCTGCGAGGCAACATCACAGACTGTTCCCACATTTCTGACCCATTTCCGCCAACGTAGACGCTCGGGCGGTACCCATAATTACCGTTGGGTGCTAATACGAGAATTGAGTCGCAGGAATGCATACTCAAAGAAGCCGCCCACACACCATTAGTCATCATGGAAGGAGCCAAGTTGAAATATTGGGTGTTAGGTGGGATCCACGTCTTTTGTCCTATATGTGAACAACAGTGTCAGTAACGCTTCCAAATGACAGGTGTTCCTGTACCATTTGCCAAATCATTTGGTACGGGCACCGCACCGGATTGAAAAAGCTGTTGAAAACTTCCCACATCTGTTACAGAAAATGAAGGTGAGGCCCAGCTGATGAAAACATAGTCAAAATTTTCAACTTGGTCCCCGAATGGGGTCATATCTTGTCGTACGCGTCGTTTGCTTTGGGTCATAAAGTTTGTTGCCCCCCTTCAGTGCTTTACTCTGTCCCGGCGCCTGAGCTGCCCGGCGGCCTTGATTTGCCAGAGAAGCACAAGTTCTGCTGCAATACTCGGAGCTCTGGAACTTTGGCTTCTTCTGGCAACGCTAAGCGAGGTGAAGATGGCAGGCCTCAGCGTTGGCTGTGTGGGTTGAAACAGGTTCACCCACATTGCATAGCAAGGCCGCTTCATTAGCACATGTCCTTGAACAGTATGAATGGTTCTGGAACTTAGGCTGGAGGGAGCAATACTATGGCGAATGAAGACTCGGCACTCTTGAGGCATTCTAATGAAATGTGTAAGGATACTTACCTGGCAAAGGTTGGCAGGTTGATGAGGTAGAAAGTGCTGGACGGCTGTTGAGAGAATGGTGGTCATTTTGAATGTGTTCCTGGGAAGAGTCCCAAGATTCTGCGGAGCTGACCTTAAAACCCATTCAAATGACCAATCACGAAATACCCCTGTTAGACGTAAATGAAACATGAGAAACGATCAAGATATAGATAGTAATTTAGCGCGTCCTGTGGAGTTTATCTTGCAAATCCATGAGTGCCTTTCCAAGCTCATTTCGCCCTTGCCCATCAGCTCCGACACCCCAAAAGGAATCCTTATAGGAGTCCTGCATAGATTAGAATCAGTGAACACAGGATGAAACAAATTTGCGCTGGTTACCTCAATGAGCTCGGCATTCCCAGTCGCAAGAAGCTCATCTTTCAAGTCCTGATGTTGTGTAAATTTGAGCAACAATACTTGGTCCATCTAAAACACATTGAGAAGCTGGGAAAGCGTACGATCACCAACAAACATACGATTTGTATATTGATTCGTCTCCAGTCAGGACGAACATACGCTTTGAAACGTCGGGCCTTAGCCAATGCGTCACTTGGGCATGAGCAACTGCGAATATGTTTGGCAAGATCTGGGCGATGCGGTAGAAACTATAACAGGATCAATAAAGGGGATAGATGTTGCGTAAAACATTTACTTTGAAGGATTGAAATAGGTGTTCGCTAGTCGGATACATCTCGCGTTCGTAACAGACAGGATGATCAGAGAAATTTGTGAAGCCATAATGCAGATCATGTTTGTGGTAGAAGAAAATGGGAGATGGCTCTGCAGGTGACAAGTATCTCGGGGATCTACCTCCACGCCAGATGCCATTTCTCCCCACTTGAGGAGAGGGAGTCATGGTCACTAAATGAAAGAATTTCGTCAGCCACTCGAAACAACAAGCTACTGACGGGCACATAGACGGTACACGTTGTTGGGTAGTATATCTTGAATGTTGTGTTGGATAGAAGCTGCTACAGCCATGGGAACACTTACTTGCACAGCCTATGGAAGGCAACCTTGTGTTTGGAAACCAAGTATCTGGAGATGAAGCTCGCCATGTGATCCTGACAAAGACGAGTGTGATCAAATGAGATTCATGGCCAAAGTTCGGTTCAGTCCGGTTCTTCACAAGTTCTTCACCTCTTTTCGATAACTGGGAAGTCAGTTCGAGCCTCAAGCCGCGGCTTCAAGGGGGTGAGAATTAAAGTGCAAGACTCACAGGGTGGATCGCTCAAGGATCGCCGAGCGCTGAGCACCGAGCGCACGCGTCTAGATAAAGTCCTGAAAGTTACGTAAGCTCTGAGATCTCCGTCACGCTCCGACTTGGCTCCGACTCGGACTATCTTTCGATCCGGAAACCTTCACACTTTCGCCGAGATTATCACTGGTGCAATGTGCAAGTTGACGCCCAGTTAAATATCGCAGTGTCGAGGGTTTTGCTTCGCAAGTGAGTCGCCCCTTCGACTGTCGTTTCAAAATGGTTGAAAGTGCCGACCACTTCAGCTTTGACCATCCTCAGAATCAAGGTTATGGTGAACAAAAGCGGCTGGCATACCTGCTGCAAAGCGATCCCAACTACCACAGGTGTAAGTAACCTGCATGAAATGTGAGCACAGCTAATGCTTGCGGAGCAGTAAAAATTAGGTTCTTAGAGGGCTGGAAACACCCCGGAAAGCAGATACCTCACATTCACGCAATTTTCAAAATCATGTTGTCAGAAGCGAGTTTTAAACCGTTTCATGAATACAGGTCTGTCAACATATACTGATAAACAATCTTCTTTCGTAATCCTATTCGAAGAGCACACGTTGTCAACGCCCCTTTTCAGAACAACCCAGCCAATGAACAGTTCTTGTTTCATGGTACAACCCGAAGCTGTTTCCTAGTCGAGGACAAATACAAGGTCCGTCTCTGCGACCTCCAGCGGTGTTCTTTGTGTAGGATAATAGATCAGTCGTTTGATATTGCGAAATGTGGTAGGTGCTTCAGTCTGTCCTGCTGTCTGTCAATACGTCTGCTAACCCCACCAGGTACAAACCACAATTTCAACAGGTTTGGGTGGGGGATATATACATCTGCTTGTTCATCTAGTGAGTCCTTCGTCAAGATCGTCCCACAAACCTCAACAACATCCCCAGAAGCAGATGATTACATCAAGAATACGGATAAAGCTGGAACATTACGAGTGGTGTTGGTGAATCGAGTCATTGTCGGAAAGCCGTACGAACAGTGTCGGAATGCTACCAATTTGGTGCAACCACCGTCTGGGTATCATTCTGTGAGTATTGTCGCATCAAAATTCCAACGCAGATGTGCTTACTCCATGAATTTCTCATTAGCTTACCGGCACACCTGGCACCAATCTCAATTACGAAGAGACTGTCGTTTATTCAAACGATGCAATTCGTCCTGCGTTTCTCATTGTATATGGTGATGCACCTCCGAAGAGTCAGTCTAAGACGCAGGCTCTCTTGTCAAGGATGTTCAACACATCGTTAGTTGGATAAATGCACGTTTGCCATAGAACAAATTGTTGAAATTCATTCACATTATTTTTCTTCAATCAGACGCATTCCTCCTCGCATCTGTGTTCAATGGGTGTACATGATGATGAAGACAGGGATGATGGCATCTGAGCTTGAGACGAATACAGATTCTCTACCGGAGGCCTACGTGAAACATCTCAATTTGACAGGTGAACAAGCACAGCTTTGCAGAGGACCAAACCTGTTTCGATATCCGCTGCTTCGGATCGACAATTACATCACAAGCGACCATCACGCGGTAGGGTGAGGAGGTGCAGGATGTTGCGAACATGTCAGCAAGTGCTGGACTCTCGTAAGAGTATATGCCGTTTCCATATCTAATTTGAGGTTCGCTCAAGGTTAGATAGTGACCAGTGATGACGGGAACCATGGACCCCTCACCTTCCCTTGTCGATCGGTTCTCCAAAAGCGAACGACTTGAAGAACGACTTGACGATGCAGCAAATCCCACAAGACTCGAAGCTACATAGTCTGGGACCATACAGGCCTAGATCACATATGCATTGCGAACTATAAAAACTCCGGACTTCTTCAAAATTTGGGTTGTTCAAACTGTTGATGACGAAGGTTGGTCAAGTCCAGTGTCGATTGAACGACTCACCGATAGCGGTCATGCAGGATACGGACATCGCGAGGGATTACAACCTCATATGCTTTCTCGAAATATGCCGGTTCCTCTAGTGCTGCCCACCTGCTCAAAAACTGGGCTTTCACTGCCGACTTTGATAAGCTTCTTTTGTCAGTCCCAGCCATCTCAAAACGTGCTCACAGTCTTCCAAGGTCGGCGAGTCATGGGCGTTCAGCTCCCTCAATTGGGGTCCCGTTTGGGACTGGCGGTCGCACAAGATACATAACTGACCAAGCATTCGAGGTTGGAGACCACATCTCATGCAGCCTTCTGCCTCTCCTAGACGAACCGCTTCTCTAGCACACCCCGACTTGTAAGCCATTCAATAACTGGATGTGAGGGACGTACTCTGCATGTATTCTCGAGCAGAAATTCGCGAACGCCAAATGTCCTGTTGCGCGACATCCATCCAACTCGCAACAAACTGGACTCGGACCCTCCCCACGTCGGGCGCAGCTCCTACTGCAGTACGAGTGCATTAAACCTTTCTCAACAAATTTTCGCTTCTCCTCACAAATCTTCGCACAAAACTCAGAGCTTTTCACGACGCATTCGGCTGACTTCTTACCTCGCAAAGATCGAGCTTGATGAAATTTAGCACTTGTTGGTCGGACGGGACCCAGTTTGAGGCGACAACATCCTGAAAGGGTGAAGCCATTACCTTGCTTGGCAAGGTCTATTACCACGGTCATAATTATGTAATCCGTCCTGCTGGCCCCCAAGGTCATATATCCCTTTTATTGACACCGAAACGTTAGAGACCGCTCTAGACTACTGCCAAACCTAACCATACAAATTCATTGTACTGGCCCCCAAGGTCATATATCCCTTTTATTGATGCCGAAACGTTAGAGACTGCTCTAGACTGCTGCCAAACCTAACGAAGCAAATTCGCCATCGCCAGTTGCGGAGACTCAGAAATTTCTGAGAAAGTTACTCAATTTACTGTCTTCAACAAATCTGCTCAAACTCTGCAACTTATACAATACTACTTACTGGTAACAGTACTATAACCCTTTTGCATTTGTCGTCGTGCCAGGTTTTCGACTACTACTTCCAATGGCTGCGAGGAGCGAACCGCCCAAGCGGTTCGGCGACGAGCAGCCAATAACAGATCATAAACTTACTCTGAAGAAATTTCATTTTATTTTTATGTCATCGCCGTAGCGGGCTTTGCACCCGTAGGAGTCAGTACTCAGCACTATAAGATTTTTTATTCTTATCTTGCATGAAATACAAGCAAGGTTTTTGTTGACATTGGAACAATGTCAAACTCTAGTGGTGAAGGTGCACAGTTAATTGAATAGTTTTTCATGTCACACGCGTCACAGGATATAGGCAGTGTTAGTTGTCCAGGGTCCTGGACCCCGGCTTGAAAGATAATCGAGTGCCTACAATTTTCGGATCTGTCCCATTCGAAGGGATCCGATTATACAGATAAGTACAAATTGTAGGTTTCCAACATGACATTTGAAGCACCCATTGAAGGACGCCACAGCCTCGTTTTCATCGTTTTCACAAGCTTTGACTCTGGCCTGTCTGTCCCTTAAAAATACTACGAGCCAGGTCGGATGGCCCCCCCCTGGCCAATCACCAAGGCTTGGTAACACTCCACCAATGGCATTATGTGATGTTTGTGCAATTTAATCACCCATCTATTCATGCCATGCTGACGAGCCGCGAGCGTCGAAGCATTGTCAAGTTCGACCTAGGTGCGTCGAAGGAATGAAGACTCACCCATACTGCAGCAAAAGCTGCGCCATCATGAGCCAGAAATCCCTGGTCAGTTCTGTCAATGGCGCAATTAGGAGTCTGGGTGATTGCGATGTAAGTCCAGTCTAAACCCCCAGAAATTGACTGATCAATGCGACGTTGAAGTTTTGCCATGCACGACCCAAAAATGTTGTAGGGGATCGTATTCACGACTTCTGTAGCAAGACATGTGCTAGAAGTGCCGAGCAGAAATCCGCTAGGTTAGGTGTCAGTACCAGGAAGGGTTAGTATTTTCACTCTTTACAATCTTATCACAACTTCTCATTGTCATCTAGCTACATGTCAAGCACCAGGATGCCAGGCGCCCGTGTATGTGGATAAAGGTGGCCAACATAGCAATTATTGCTCAATATCTCATAAGATGTTCGCTCAGCTGCTTCCACTAATATTTATTGTTGACTTGTTTAAGATAGCCTCAAAGAAACGCTATGCCTCTTGTGCCTTGAGGAACCTACGATATTGAAGTCGAATTTTTGTTCTTGGCGGTGCAAAAATCATGCAGAAGAAAGGGGGCCTATGCTTCTAGAAGTTCCTTTGGGTCATAAAACCTTCCAGAGCAGTATGTTTCAATGTTTCATTGTTCTGACATCGTCTCAGCGCCCCGCTACTAGTTGCCGATCAGTTCAAATAGTCTTGGAGACATACCAAAGCTGCGTGCCTGCCTGTGCGCCTTGTTTACAAGATCATCTCTCCTGCATCTACGCTTGTCAAATACAATGCCTATAGGTGAGTTATCGATCCAATAGTGTTACCTTGAGGAAAGTTGTTGAGGTAGAGGAATCTTCCTAGGGATGCAGTAGAACACTTCAGGCCTGACGCTTCTGAGTGACAGCAGACCTCAGAGGCCGATTCTTTTGATGGTAGGAATTGGCCTCTGAGGGGTGTGGCCGCTCTCTCACCCGCATAAAAATCCAAATCAAGCATGCTTCTTTTTCCGTCTAAAAATAGTCGGAGCATCAAAGCAACAGCCTGTTGGTTGCTGCACTGCTAGGCAGCGCTCGACCCACGTTACCTGCAGCCAGGGTTTTCCAGCCTGTCGAAAACATAGTAGGCACTCCCTTTAATCCTGAAACTTTTACTCAGCATACATACTCGGGATTCCGGATAAAACCTTGGTCAAAAGTCCAATGGGAGCGCACGTCTGGGGCCAGCAGTAACGCGAAGGGCTCCCCCGCTCCCCTAGCACACTCCATAAAATAACAACGTCATAGCTTGAAATTGCACATACTACGTGGTGGGGGTTTAATTTATCACCCTGTTCAAAAATGAATGCAGAATCGATAAAATAACCGAAAATTGCTTTATTCTGATGCTCAGAATATGCACCACTGGCGGCCTTTCATCTGGAAACCAGAACACCATGTTGGCATATTATATGAGATATTTTTACAGCTGTTAAAGATTATGTAGCACAAATATCTTACCAAAGACATCAAACATCTTAGCCACGGGCTCTTCTCGACGATGGTTTGTTTTCTTGGACCTCCCGTGATTGCATACCACCAGAATAATCTAACATAGAAATCTGAGTGCTGCTATCTTTAATGACTAGTCCACCTTTAGCAATAAGAATACTGAAGAGTTTCTCGAGGCCTGAATTACGTGCTGAGTTGAAGTGCCCAGAGTAGATTACTACCCAAATTGTCTCCAAGTTGTTCTTCAACAAGCACCTATACCTTGTGTCGTGAGATCCATATCATAAAATACTATATAACAAAATTCTCAAGAGTATGCAGTCAACACTGACACCTGCAGAAAAGGACCCTTTCAAATTTTACTTAAATGATGCTGTAAAAATCACTTAAAATCTCAGCTACCCGCTTCACCCTATAGAAAAAGATACCAAAAACAGCTGTAAGATAGCCCAATGTCTCAAAGAAAAGTGTTACTGAGTTGGTATTGAAGAGGGAGGTGGAAGTGAGGCTCAAATTTTATTTTTCCGGAGTAAAAGTCAGACTACAAAGGCGACGTCAAAGATTGGCAAAGATGATCATCTTGAGCATTGTAGCTACAGTTACGACCCATAACAGGTCCCTCCCATAAATATCGTCTCACATGGAGTCAATTTTAATACAAAACAGTTTCTATGAATGTATGGTTGCTGTAGGATATCAATGAGTACCTCCGACGTTGTTTTCTTGCCAGTATGTTGCAGTCTCTACATCAAAATCTCTGCCATTTTTTTTTTCCGTTGCAAACTGGATGAGGCAAGGATAAAATATGTATTTCGAGAATTCATATTGTAAGATACAATGTGTATCTAGCCTACACCCAAATTAAATGTAGTAACCGGCCCACAGCAAGGATACAATGTTGGCGGGGATTGACATATCAATAGAATCTGAGACTCGGAACGCACCTCGAGGCCTGGCTTGAATATGTCACAGTCAGAATGCATTAGGAGAGAGCCCGAAACTTGCCAAATAGATAAGGGTGGGCGTCATATGAGTTGAGAACAAGGGATCATCAAAAAAAAAAACAGAACCGTAACTGACACTCAGTACTCACTCAGAAATCATCATTGTCCAGCTGTTTCTTTGCCTCCTTTCTATCACTGCAGACTTGGAAAAGTGCCCCTTCTATTTAGAGCGGAAGTTCAGGAGGAAGACGAGCACTGCGACCAAGAGATTTGGTGAATGCATGACGTATTAAGATTTGAGCGGCAGCTGGAATCGACTCAGTTGAGGAAAGCGTTTGAGCTGTGATACTGATATGAGTATGAATAGTGATAACAGACCTACCTATGTAAATGGCATAGATTCCGCCAGCTCACATAACCAACCCTTCCACAGCGGCCATAATTCCGCGCAGTAACGCATCGGGCTACTTGACACGGATCCATACCTTGGCAGCGGCGCGAATCCTCATCTGGTGACGTCGAGTGCTGCGCAGGGAGCGTAGGTGAGGCGAGTAGTTGGTGGGCAACATGTCACTGAAGGGGGTGAAGGTCGTTCGTCATCGGAAGGGTTCATCGCAAGCTACAGTGTCTTGCATAATGCTTTGCAGCACGAATTTTTTCAAATCGTATTTGATTATATTTGTAGTGGTCACAAACCAAGGCCGAACGAAATAATCCCAGGCCTGAGTGTGACATATTAGGTCCAGTTTAACACAGCCAAATACCATTTTAAAAAATTCACGCTACAAAGCATTATGCAAGGCACTGTAACGGCGCCAGTGCTGGAGCGCGGAGCACCTGTTCGGGCACCGGCAACCATCAGCCGGAGCTATTTTTGGACTGACAGCGTGGGCAGTGACGGGATCACCCCCCTCAGAGGCCAATTGCCACCAGACAAAGAATTGGCCTCTGAGGCCGTCTAGCGCTTGAGAAGCGTCAGGCCTGAGGTGCAGTAGAAGCTCGTGGCAAATTCCTCTCATCAGGTCGCAGCACATTTAAAGGACCGGGAAACGAAAACCGCCGTTGGCATGGTACACGGCGAACATGTAACCTTGGAGATAAAAATCAAACTCGGCTCTGTTCATCGTCTCAGTGCTTTCTCTGCTCTATTATCCGAAACTCCTTTGACGTTTCGCTCTGTAAAGCAAACACCGGTTTTTCCAGGTGGATTTCCTTCTTCTGCGTTGCAAGCGGTAAACCTGCTTACTTGGATTCGAATTTGAATTAGGTTCGGTCAGGGCATTTACACTTCCTCGACCTCGTCAAAGTGAGTTTTCTCCGCCATCTTTCTCTGACAAGTTCATGAAAATGTACTAGGTCGAACGGTTACTCTTCCAATGGTTGTCAGTCCTCTCTTAAGGCAGTGCTATTAAACAAGGTCATTGTCGGCAAAGGATGCAAACTTCACAAGGACAATGAGACATTAAAAGCACCCCCGCGGGGGTTTGATTCGGTATGTATGTTCTATTGTCGAAAATCCCCTTTAATATTTAGTCAATCCCGAAAGGTGCTCGGCGAGAAAGGGCAGGATTTGAATCACGACGAACTGGTCGTTTACACCAACGATGCCATCAGACCCTCCTACCTTGTCATGTATGAACCCTAGACCTGTGGCCGTGAAATAAATGAAAATGCAAGAATTACCTGCTCAGCTGGTGTGCGCTACTGCCGTAGAAGAGGATGATGTTTAAGAGTCATACACATCTGCAACCTCCTCCCCGCCAGCTCAATGCACACTTCTGTCTGTCTCCGCCCTTGTGTCTGCAGCACCCTCCGTAACGGCCTTTCTCAGCAGTCGACAGGCTCATAATAACACGAAGGGTCCTAAAATGACATCGTAGTATGGTGTTCAAATCATATTTGAGTGAGGAGCGCGGCAATACCTAGATTCGACGATATTAAGTATGTTGGTGCGTGATATGGGGTTGGTTTAGCTGAGTGTCGGTTAAGCTGTTCAAGGGGTTGTTAGCGTTAGACGAGTGCGCCCTGAGCGTGCATCATGATCATGGGTGGGGCATAGTACGCTACAGTTTTACCTTGCTCAATGGTCCAAGATATCTCGTGAATGTCATCTTGCTCTAATCCGAAAGACGAATAGGCACCCCCGATGCTGGAGAAAAGCTCGGTCATCTGATGTTTATCGGAGTCCAGAAAGAGGAAGCGAGATTGGTTCGCTGGTACAAACGCTCAAGGAGATATCCGTAGAATATGACGTGATCTACCCACAAGGTCAGCACAGATCAATGAATATCGCGTAAACTGACCGTTTTTGAAGCATGAGCGCTTTGACTACAGGATGAACGTTCGCTGTCGCTGAATTCGTTCATTTGCAGACTATCTGACTGAAAAAAATTTGAGATCCAGAGCCAGAATGCTGAACCATTTGTAGTCAACTTTCCGCAAGGGACATCTCCCGTGAAATGCCAAAACACAATGACATCTGCGAAATCTCGATATTCGTTTCTTGCTTACCTCCGGTCAAAAAGCGCGGTTTTCGCGATTGGTGGGTTTCCTAGAAGCTGTTAGGGGCTTATGAGTTATAAATCGACCGGCGGCGTACTGGAAGACCATCGGTACGAATATCCGCTCCAAAATGGGTTTCAGCGCTACCGCTACGAGGCGCTACCACACTTCATTGACAATGTGGCGTATGAACGGAGAGACGTCGGAAGCTGAGGTCTCCGATTTGGTCCCTGAGATGAATCGAAGATGAGTGCTCAGATTGTAAGTAATCATTCTGCGAACAAGCTTGGAAGGGAAGTAATTGAGATGTCAAGGAGATAATAGGGCGACGAACCGTCAATTGAACGCGTCGTTGGAATGGAATAAGAGGAAAATACCACTGGCAGATGGTGCACGAGCTCGGTTCGCACATCATGTCGAAGAAAGGTAGGGTCACCATCACGGTGGCAAAAAGTCTGCTGTAACTTATAAGGACTGGTCACGAGTCTACCTCTCACCCCTCCGCATCAACTTCCCAACTCACGACTGCCTCACCCTCCACGTGACTGCGAGTCCGGAAAACGCTACCCTGCGCAATACTTTGGTCGTGTGCGCCACATGAGTGGATGGACAGTGCGATTGAACGAATGAGGGCATACAAACCCCGGCCAGATGTGGATCGGAGAAAGGGAAAGAGGACAGTCTTTGAGGACGAAGGTTGATGGAGCGCCAGTCAGACTCTTCAACGAAGAACGTATCACAGCATAGGGGGGTAACAAGTATATTAAATTTGAGCCCGCGATTCGATGGGGACGAGGATACAAACCCAATCCCTGGCTACATCTGACCCAATGAGCACGGATGAAGCAGTGGGATGATATGAAACGAACCTTGTGGCCATTCTATGAGTATGTCAGGCGAGCCTTATCCCTGTCAGTATCACCTTTCCCAACCTCACGTGGCTGAGGTCCTGTTCGGGTGGTCCATGTTGGCCAACGGTAAAGGTGGTACACCAAATTCCGCCTCATGAAAACCCACCCGGGAATTATCACTATACCGTGCGCATCACCCACGAAGAGAGGGCGTGGAAAGGGGCGCAACCAATGTCGTAGCTCAAGGGTTGAATTTTCCCTATCCGAGGAATGGCGTTCTTTGTAACATTTAGGAAAAGCTTAGGAGACTCGCCATTCCGATCGTGTAGCAATAGCCATCCGATTATCGGTTCACAAAGGCACCGCAACGAAGTGTGACGACGCAAGGGGGAGAGGTTTTCTGTTACTCGTTACAGGTGTCGGCTACTCAGGAGATGAACAACGGTTGCATGTTGAAAGGTCAAAGAGCTGGGCGATTCACGAATCGGAAGGAGAGGTCGAGGGCCGACCATGGTTGGACGGATCTCTGATAAAGAGCTTCGGCTTCAGAACCGGGGGTAAGATCTTTCGGGGGTTGCACCACAGGTTGAGGCCTCTGGAATTCGTATTCAGAAAGCCTAAACTCAATCGAATTCATATGTGGGGCGAATGCTCTGTGGAAGAAAGGTCAGCAAAGGGACCAAGGTCAACACGGACATTGAACATACCGGAAGCAACCCCTTGGTCTTTCAACAACCCTCCGTTGATCCTGGTAACGTTGCCGTCGTTCATGGAGTTCAGAACTGGATTCGGGAAGGCACGCCTTACCATTCAGTGGCACTTCTTGTGCAGGGCGGATGTCTGAATGCCCCCTATGTTTCGTCGCATAGAGCCTACATTAAAACAAGTGAAGTCCACCTGGAGGCGCGAAACAGAACGGAACCTTGGTTCGGTGAGGTTTGGTTGTTGTGGCGATGTAAGTGTTTGGGCCAGGTTTGTGATTATTATTATTGAACATGAGCTCTATTTACTCAATATTTACTCTACCTCTTCTCAAGTCCGACGACTCGACGCCTCTTGTTCTCAGGTTCTTGCAGCCCTTGAAAAAAACTAGTGTTCTCAGAATGGAGACGAAATACAAAATTTTCTTGATTTCGAATCTCTTCAGCATTCGTGCTGACTCGGAAATCCCAAGGGTTGGAATGTTATAATTTTATGAACTGGCATGTCTCACAACACTGATCCCTGGGAGCCCTTCACTAATTTCACTCGGCAATGCGAGTCATAATGCATGAGGTCGGGTCCCGGGATGCCATCTAGAAGGCCTTAATATAACTCATTCACCGCCAAGTACCCATTAAGCAGCTGGGCTATGTATCAGCTGGGTGCAGTCTGGTTTTGGACCTACCCAAGCCTCCGAGTCTGTTGGACGTGCGTCTATCTGAGATTCCTTATCTTCCAAGTGTTCCCTGTCCTTGAACTCTCCACAGTTCTTCAAAGCGGAACGAGCGATCCCTTCACAGTTGCCGATTTGTGTTCCCAAACGAGCTTTCAAGGAAGCGGGCGAATGAGGGAATTTCTCGCAACCAAGGACACTGTGCTCTGAGTCCATCATAATCTCAAAAGCTGACCGTCAACGATGGCTTTTGTTATCTTCAAATCAATGCGGCGTCAGCTGGCTGCCCTTATGTCCACCGTTGTTTCAGACACCCCGATTCGCTTACCGTCTGTCAGGGGTAAGGGTTTGACCTGTTTATCCAGTTCAGAGCGCTAACCGGCTGCGTTTCATCAAGATTTGCATCTCGTTGATTGGCGCCACCGTGCATATAGGTCTGATTCACTATCGACACTTCCTGATATGCCTATGTAAGTATTATCATGATGATTATTGAGATTCCTGATTGCTTCCACGACTAGCCTCTCGGACTACGAAACCACTCATGACGGTAATTACAAGATCGCAGGACAGCAGTTCGCCTTTTGAAGCCAACGAGGGAATCAGCCGACTCTAGACGTATGTTAACCCATCCAACTCTCAATAAGGACATCCCAGTTTACGGCAAGGATAACGGAATACACACGCCGTGAAAGGTCCCAGAAGTGGGGATTCCGCGAACGTCCGCTGCCAATGTCAAAAAATAGCGCTCATCGGTCTCACGGACTTGGAAGCAAGATGCTTTAAATACCTGTGGGATACAGATAACTGCCGTGGATGAAACGATTCAGCCCAGGTTTTACTATCCATGTTCATATTACTGCCCATTCTCTATGTTTCTCTTCAGGCGATTCGCGCTTCACCTTTACCCCTTCCGATTGACATCAGCAATGCCCCAACAGGCTTACACCTACCAGCCTGCATGTGCATTGATCAGCGATCACTTACAGATATCATATGGAGCTGCTTTACCACTATCTTCGCTTGCACTTGGCTGTCAGTACACCCCAACATGCCAGGTCCTGATGAAAAGTGTTGGAAGACTGTCCTTCGGAGACTTGAATTAATGCTCTGGTCTCTTATCTGCCCTGAGATGATCATCTGTTGGGCTTGCAGGCAATGGTTTGCTGCACGGAGCTTGTGTGATGAATATGGTGGTGGGTTATTCCCGAGGTAATGAACCTTTGAGGACTGACTGCGGTTAGGGTTGGGATGGACAAAAACACATGGTTACTTTCTACAGATGGGGGGATTTATGCTCATGGATGGAGACGAAATGGTGGGCGTTCTCACGCCTGAGATGTTCCGTGACCTGCTTCAGGACGGCATGATTGCCTTCCCCTCGATTACAGAGGAAGAAATTGAAGACAGGAGCAAGGCTGACGGCCTGGCCAAGGGAATAGCGGTTTTGCAAACCGTATGGTTCATCGCCCAGTGCATTAGTCGAAAAGCGCAGGGACTGATCACCACTGAAGTCGAACTAATCACGCTGGCTTTCGCTGCCCTCAATGGAATATTATATTTCTTGTGGTGGAACAAACCTCTCGACGTCAAGTGTTGCGTGCCAGTTCCCTACGAAGATTGCGAGCCTGTGATGATTCCCTCCTATACTAAGCCTAAAAGTAAGTTTTTCTATTTTCTCAACTAAGAATTGAAATGATAAAACATAGGGTTGACTTGGCGAATCTTTGGCATGTTTTTCAAATCTCCTGGCCCGGAGGAATCTACAGGTTGGTGTTGCTCTGTCAGCAGGTTTGATATGTAATTCAAAGTCCAGTGTCAGCGGTTCCCTTACTCGTGACAGCTCGTGAAACCGCCAAGGTTCCTCACTCTAACCCTAAAAGTAAGTTCATATCTACCGGACTTTTGAAAATGAATTGACGAAATGCACCAGAATCGACTCAGATCTTTTCCAGCATCTTTTCGTGGGGTCATACGTGGTTTTTGAACTCCCTTGGTCATTTAACGGGTTGCGCAGCTAGTGAGTCCTGTCCTTCTAGAATGTTAATTTGACTATAGCATATATTAACAGTGGACACCATCACACTTGCCACCACCTGTGCATTATTTGTGAAGAAGGCTTTGGTGGAGCTCCTGTTACTTCCATTCAGAGCGATCCTGGTGATTTTGCTCAGGTTCCAGGACTTCCACAGATGCGATATGGTTGATGAGGATGCCATCCGGGTTCCAACATTTTACGCACCTGCCAACGATGACCATGGATTCTTTAGGGTCCGCATAACGACCCTGATCGTTGCGACGATCTTTGGAGGCATCCATTGCGCTGGCTGGAATTTTCCCTTTCCCTCTCACGCAGAGCTGATTATCTGGCGTGTATCCTCTTTAATCATTGTCATTGTTCCGTGGACTTTTGTGCCTCTACTTGTGACGGGGTTTATGGGGATAGATACAATTGCCACCAAAGTTTACACCATGGTGTCCTACTCTGGCGCTGTGATTTATGTTCTCGCACGGCTCACCCTCTTTGTCGAAGCTTTGACCGCCCTGAGGCATCTTCCCCCGGGGGCATACGCTGTAGTCGAGTGGACCGCCCTTTTACTCCACATGTGACCAACGGCTGTTTACTCGCTGTTTTTTTTGGGATATTCTCTACGAGCTTTCAGTGACTGGCATAAGTCTGAAGTATATGTCATTCAATTTTCACGTGGGTTGGGGAGGGTTTCTGTCTCATGCTACCATTTATCGTTCATCAACTTGATATTACCACCTGGACTCAACGTATGTCTCATAATCACCGTAGCGTGCCTACGGGCGCAAAGCCCAATACTTACGGTGTTTAGATAAAAAGTAACTGTTTTTTTTCTTTTCTTAAAGAGTGATTCTGGAATCCTTTGTTGGCTGCTCGTCGCCGAACCGCTTGCGCGGTTCGCTCCTCACAGCCAACGTCCCTTGAGAGCTGCAACCACTGTAGCGGGCCTACGGGCGCGCTCCGGCGATTAGATTAAAAAGAAATAAACTTTTTTTTAAAAGTGATTTTTGCGATCGTTCTTGCGCGGTTCGCCAACGTCGACGTCTCCTTTCTCTGGCTGGACGATGACAAAAGCGATGCAGACGTACAAACAGACATAAAGTATTCCACCATAGCCTGTAGGACGATGACAAAAGCAGAATCCAAACATGTGCAAGAGAGGCTTAGAGAGCTACAAACAACCGTAACGTTTCCCACGGTGGAGGCTGCAGGCTAAGACCAAAGAACCCTAAGCGAAGTACTTGGCCCTAAATCACAATTCGGGTGTGTGATCTCGCTGGCAGATCACAATCAAATTGTGACTTGGATTAGGGTCTGGAAAACACCAGGCCAAGTCTTCGCGCTGACTTAGCATTGTACATACATGGTAAATAGTATCAAATAATTCAATAATTGTTAGTATTCGCTCCTCCTCGTCGTATCATACACGCTTATGAGCGTGCCTCGTTCTGCATTCCAGACAATGACACCCCTCGGCAGGTGGATGACTTTAGCATTGATCCAGCACTTTTCCAGGAGTCCGTACGTCAAAAATCGGTGGCGTAGCTGTACCTAGGACCCTGGTATATGCTATAGAATGTCTGATCCTTATGCGGACGGAAATGGGACCTAAAATCGTCTCACCTTCGATCCTTATGTGTACGGAAAGCCCGAACTTTGGCCGGAGGTTTGATCCATTTTGCATCTGTAAATGGCCAGTCGGTACGGAGGTCCGATCCAATTTTCGTACGTTTGTAGCTGTCGGCTTGAGCTGGGTTTGAGCTCAAAAAATTTCACAACCCCTCCCACATCTTCTATTTTCCCCAAGCCCTCTGAGCGACGCACCACATCATCGTTCTCAACGATGATAATCCATTTGGGAATAGCGCGACTCAGCATCAGCCATTAATTACCACAGTGCTCCTTTCATCTGATTGCAATCAACGATGTCAGGATTTTGGAATATATTGGAAGGTCAGTTGCTCAACTCATTTTGTTTGCTAAATGTATTTTTGAAGGTCATGCTTTCAGCAGTCATTCATCCTGGCCCGGAACACAAACTTTCAGAGGACTTTGTAACTAAGATCTTACTTGGCAATTCTGTGGCTCATGCAACACTGCAATATGGAAACATTGCGGGATACTCTGACCTGATCACGACCGTTTTTTTTACTTTTTTTTTTGTTTTATGCGGACATTTTGACCTAAATTCCAACTCTCATCCTCTATGTGCACGGATCTCGAGCATTTACATGTCCGATAGGTATTGCGGACGGAAATGGTCCAAAATGATAAGTAGGATCCGAATTGCGGACGGAAACGCCGAAAAATCGTCCGTACGTAAGTGCCAAAATTTGGCCGTTTTGGATCGGACATTTGACAGCATATACCAGGGTCCTGTACCTTCCCAAAGGGTCACCACCTGGTTCTTTGGACTTCTTCCTTCCCGCCACATCGTCCCATTGGTAAGTCCCCTCCTGTATTGTAATCTCGGCTCCAGATGTGTAGAGAGGTCCGGTCCGGCGGTCCACGGAGTTTAAAGTCGGAGGCAAAAAAAGCGAACAAAACACGAACACAGGACCTCTCTACTACATCTGGTGCAATTTGATCAGTAGGGGTAGGCTCATGTGACAACGTCACGGTGGTCACTCTTGTTCACACCATTCCTCCTCCTACTCAGGCGATGAAATAATACCACCAACGTCAATGTTCTTTCTAAAAATGACTTTATTACACTACCTTGATTGGATCTGAATAGTTGTCTATTTTTTTTCTCTTGAAGAGGCATGCTACTTGGTCAAAATCAAATGCTGATCACACAACCACATATTTTACTAATAAATTTCTGAGACTGGTGTGGACCTGCCTAATGGTTTGGAAACCATGTAGACTATATGTTTTGGCCTTATGGAACTGAGGATGTGCAAGTTTCCTGCTTTGGACTGCAGGGATGTTGCACAAGCAGATAACATCTTTTGCCTTATCCAATGCACAAAACTGGGTACTGTGAAGTGAAAAATGCTGTCCCTTGTCATTGATTTGTACATAGGATTGAAGAGAATATTAGCTTTTATTTTTGCAAGCTACTTTTGAAAGACTGAGTTTGTTTCCTGCACCACTGACCTTTCAAAAGGCTTGTACTCTCCTTCAGCTATGATTATTTGCTGGCAATGAAGCTAAGGTGTAGAGCTCAGTTACTTTATACTTATTGGTGATAAAGCATGCTATAGATCTCAGAAATAATTTTAGAGCTGACATGAAAGTTGTAGAGATGATTTGGGATGCAGGACTTCTTGAGGATGAGGTGTGTTACGAGCCTGTCACACGAGCCTACCCCTTCCTATCAAAATGCACCAGACGTTATAGGGCAGGATCTTGCGCGTGAATTTTCTCATTTTTTTGCCTCCGACTTTAAAGTCCGCTGATGGGATCTTATCTCCCTCCTGGACAGCGCTTGATCCTGCCCTATAACGTGGGGAACGAGACTACCTGTATTGTATCTCTCCTGCCTCACGACATCAAGACTGACAATAGCAGCCGAGGCCCCAAGTCATGGCAGCTTGCCTCCCATACTCAGCAAGAAGCTTGCCTGCCATACTCAGCAAGGGGACGGACCACCATGACACGAACAGGGCAACCACGACATGACTACAACAACCATGATGTGACCACGACCACACGATGACCACAACGTCGGACCACCACGATGCGACCACGACGGACGACAGTGACGCGAAGACGACCACGATGGACCACCACCACCACAACGCGAAGACAACTCTGACGGACAACGAACCCATGAAGACAAATGAGGGACGACGACAACGAACAACTAACGAACAACAGACGACCACCTGTGGTGAGTGCCCAATGTCTCTACAGCCGTGAACGCTTAGCATCCTAACCCACTCAATCACACCCTCACATCACAAAGCGACCGTAAATGTCTTCCAACAATGACAACGAATGCCATCGACCTCAGTGGGTACTAGTCGGCCTTGCCTCTCTTGTTCATATTGGCCTAGCGATGGGGTTGACATTCATACAAGTATATATGCTACTTTCCTAAAATAATCCCCATCATGTAGATGTGTATGGTACTCTAAAATCAATCTTATTGTTGGGCCTTTATAGGCATACATGACTGGTGTAACAATTCTCATTGCTCAGTACCATGAAAAATGGACAAAATACCTTACTTCACCACAGAAACAAACACCTGGTTTGAATGGCTGGGTGCCATGTTCTGTAAAGTCAGGAGGTTGTTTCTGATGCAATTTCCATCAAGTAGAGCCCAAGAACATAAAAATCGAACAAGAACTTACCCGTTAGCCTCAATTTCTGGGGTAAGAGCCCTCATTCATCCACAGAATCGAACGCTGAGATTGAACGGTTGGCCGCTATGTTTTGCGAATTTGGGAGGTCGTTCCTAAAGCGATTTCCGTCAAGTAGACCCTTAGAACGTAGAAATTGAGGAAGAACATACTTGTTAGCCTCAATTTCTGCTAAGAGACCTTATTCCTTCGCAGAATTAAACGCCGAGTTTGAACGGTTAGACGCTATGTTTTGCAAACTCGGGCCGTTGTTCCTGAAGAAATTCCGGTTAAGCAGATTTCAAGAACATAAAATACGGGTAAAAACTTACTTTGTTAGCTCAATTCTCGTAATAGATCTCATTTCTCCGCAGAACCGAGCGCCGACTTTGAACGGTTAGACGCTATGTTTCGAAAACTCGGGAGGTTGTTCCTAAAGCAATTTCGGTCAAGTGAAACCCAAGAACGTAAAAATTGAACAAGAACTTACCTGTGAGCTTCAATTTCTAGGGTAAGAGACCTTACTGCCCTGCAGAACCAAACACCGACTTTAAACAGTCAGGCACTATTGTTTTTAAAACTTGGGAGGTTGTTCCTGAAGCAAATTTGGTTAAGTAGAGCCCAAGAATGCAAAATTTGAGTAAGAACTTACCTGCAAGCCTTAATTTCTGGTGATAGCCCTCATTTCTCCGCAAAACCAAACACCAACTTTGAACGGTTGGGCGCTATGTTTCGAAAACTCGGGAAGTTGTTCCTAAAGCAATTTCGGTCAAGTGAAATCCAAGAACGTAAAAATTGAGCAAGAACTTACCTGTGAGCCTCAATTTCTAGGGTAAGAGACTTTATTGCCCTGCAGAACCAAACACCGAATTTGAACGGTTAGGCGCCATGTTTCGCAAACTTGGGAGGTTGTTCCTGGAGCAATTTCGGTCAATTAAAGCCCAAGAACGTAAAATTTGAGTAAGAAATTACCTGCAAGCCTCAATTTCTAGTAATGGACCTCATTTCCCCACAAAACCGAACGCCGACTTTGAACGGTTGGGTTGCATGTTTTGAAAACTTGGGAGGTTGTTCCTAAAGCAATTTCGGTCAAATGAAACCCAAGAACGTAAAAATTGACCAAGAACTTACCTGTGACCTCAATTTCTGGAGTAAGAGACCTTAATCCTCCGCAGAACCAAGCACCGACTTTGAACGGTTAGGCGCTATGTTTTGCAGACTCGGGAGGTTGTTCTTGAAGCAATTTCGGTCAAGTAGAGCCCAAGAACGTGAAATTTGAATAAGAACTTACCTGCAAGCCCCAATTTCTAGTAATAGACCTCATTTCTCCGCAAAACCGAGCGCCGACTTTGAACGGTTACGCATTACGTTTCGAAAACTCGGGGGGTTGTTCCTAGAGCAATTTCGGTTCAGTAGAACCCAAGAACGTGAAAATCGAGTAAGAACCTACCTGTAAGCCTCAATTTCTGGCAATGGACCTTATTTTCCACAAAACCGCACGCCGACTTCGAACGGCTGGGTGCCATATTCCCAAAACTTGGGAGGTGGTTCCTGAAGCGATTTCGGTCAAATAGAGCCCGGGGGCGCAGAATACGAGCAAGAACTTACTTTTCTAGCTCAATTTCTGTTTGTGGGCATCCTTTCACCACAAAACCAAATGCCAAAATTGAACGGATCGGCGTTCCATTTCGTAAGCTCGGGAGGCACTTCCTGTAGTAGTCACCGTCAAGTAAAGCCCAAGATCATCAAATTCGAGCCAGAACTCACAGAGTAAATCCATTTCTTGTGGGTGGACTTGCCAAACCTTGATGCCGAAAATAGCTTGTGCACATGGAGCTGAATGGAGGTGCAGTTCATGTATTTGATTTACGAGGCTTCTACCTGGTAGTCTATTTTACAAGGTAAAGGGAGAGGACAGCTATGTAAGTACGAGCGTCGGCTTGAACGGAAAGGGAATTAGCGCACGAGAAAACCCTCAGGGTCCAGGACAAGTGTTGGGTGGGAGGTGTGATTTCGGGACAAGTCTATGGAAACCCGGAGCACCAAGCTCCAAAAATACAGTAAAGTCTTTGCCAAACACTGCAGGCCGTGATTGCCGAGTGAATTTGAAAAGTAGTGACCCCGGAGACCTCATGCTGCTGATCATCTGTACTACAATTTAAAAAAATGAGTTATGTGGATCGCCAACACAGCGGTCAATTTAAACTCAAGGAATAAATCAAAAACTATCATTTCAGCTAGCTGGCCAGAGAACGCGCCAGCTTGAGACGCTTTTGGCGCGGTCACATGACCAGCCAAACAACGCCTTGCAACGCGTCACCTTGCGTTTACCAGTGAGGAGCGGCAACCCACTGCCAAATTTTCAACTCCGCCAAATTTTCCCATCACCAAAGACCTGATCAAAAAATGGTCGATCGTCTCAACTGCTCGTATTTACTTCAACACAACAGTAGATTGCCACTTTAAGTGTGGATATATGTAGGTGGAGCATAAGTAAAGGTGCTTGTATACAATTTAGCACAAAAATACAAATATTCTGTCAGTTAATATCTTACTTTGAGCCTTCCAAACCCCTTTATAAAATTCTGTCCTGAACAAATCCATCCTACGCTCCATGAGTTTGTGCCTGCAAAAATTTGAAAGAATACCTCTACAGATGAGGTAGCAATCCATGACGGGGGAATGGCATGGTAAGACACGTCAATGATCACGTGTTGCAATAAAGAAAGTAACTGAAGCGCGACCAAAGCACGACTATCGGCGTCAGCAACGCGTTATCGTCATTACCTCTGCGTATATTGACTTGTTAACCACAAGTATATTATATCATGGGCAAAGACACTTGGAAACTGGGCCAGAAGTCAAGATTGACATTGCAAACTTCCCAGTCAATGACAAACCTTCGCAACATTCACTCCGACAACTTGGAGAACAGACCGGAACACAATATGAATGTCTAAAGCTCAAAACCAGCAGGAGCTTGAAGCTCAACTCGACGTGAGGAGTGAATAGGAAGGCTACATTCCAGAGGAAAATGCATCTGACATGTATAGTGACACAGATATAGAACTTGGCTACTAAATTCAATCATAATAATATATTATATATCACCACAAACAACATAGACTTGTAAATTGGTCCTACGTATCGATTGAAGTGAAATAACAGTTGTCGACCACTGAATTCGACTATTTGGCGCGAAACAAACAGAACCAAACAGCACAATTTTATTGGCACAGTTGCCGCTCCCCATTACCAGCATACCGCCCTTGTCAGCATCTCCCTTGAAGAGTGACAGCCTGCCTACCTAAAGTCCTACTTCTCACCATGCCAGAGGATCCTGAGATCAGTGTTATCATTCACCAGATCTTGGCTAAGATTGTCCAGCTGGCCAAGAAAGAGGGAAAAGCACCAATGGGTGAGTTTGCTCGCCCAAGTCTCAACTCTTGATCATCAAACAAGCTAACCTGACTTCATGTAGCTTATTTATGGCTTTTTTCACGGTGCTTCACCTTGGGTACCAAGGCTAAGCCTTACTCCAGTATATCTGTCGACAACTCTCGATATACAGAGTCATTTGATTCTGATGATGACTCCTACGTTCCCAATGCATTTGACGTGACTCGAGCGTCAGGTAAACCGTGGGCTTATTTGGTAAAGAAGAACTTGAAACCTGGCCCAGTCTGTGTTGCCCGCCGTGGCAAATGTTTGGCTATCGGAGCGGGACATGTATGTCAAACATGCATCCCATCTTTACCTCATGCTTACAAGACTATTTTATTCAGCATTTGACAACCTTTCATCTTGGCTTAGAGGCTAAGGTTACCATTGTGTCTCAAGAGGACTACGAAAAGCTCATTGCGAACGACTGTCCCAGATCGAACAAAAATAAGGCCAAGGCTGCAAAAATGCGTTCCTTTGAATTACACTCTGACTTTATCGAACCTGGGTCATCTGCAAACACTAATCGGACCATCAACATCTTCGCAGCTATAGTCTCTGAGTCATTTGCGATTGTATTCTCAGACTTTGCACGACTTATGCGCATGCATGTCACCAGTATCAACCGGCCCTGGACTCAACAAGATCTCGATGTTGGATCACCAGTAAGTCATGATTGTTCCATTGAATTACGCTTTCACTTTAGCATTATATCGCTTTAGGAGTGGCCTATTATCTGGAGTGCATTTCCTGATGGGGCGGACTGGTTCCTTGAGAAGGATGTTGCTCTCAATGCCCTGGAGAAGTGGAGACATGATATGAGCACAGGAGCACCAGGCCATTCAAAGCCCATTGTCGATGTTATTGCTAAAAATGGCAATCGCGTATTCGGCGGATTTGGAAGACATCTTGCTAATGACTTCCTTTACTATGCTGCAATTTTCCCTGGTGCTCCTTGCTCCTGGGTTTGCTCTGATGATGCACGCTTCTCCCACTTCACCTCTCGTATTGTGAGCTATACTCAGATTTGGCGGTCTGCTGACTTTCTGAAACGATGCGGCATGTCAACCAACTCTTCCAATCCTTTCGCATTCAATACAACATCTGATCGTAATTATACCGCTGGATTTATCTGGGTATTCAGGAAGGCATTTGTCAAGATTCCACAGGACTTGTATAACCAGTACCTACGAGAAGGACTATTCGATCCAACTCATAAAATAGGTGGGTTAATTCTTCCTTTTCTGTTTTATCCTGACAATTTTCTGCATAGGGGATCCATATCAGTACACTGGACCGCTCTCTGACAAGCAGTTCAAGCGTATTGAGGTGAACTACCATGCTTACCTTGATGCCTTCACTGTCATAACAGCAAGAGTTCCAGATGGGTGGAAGGATGGACCAGTTGTAGGTTCTTCATAATCATCGCTGTTTGCTTTCTCACAGTAATCATTGGCAGCAATCATTCTCTGACTTGAAGGAAGCAGGGTATAGTACCACCATTGGGCCAGCGCAGTTCCACGAAGCAAAGCAAAATATGGTAGATCCAGACCATGCCATACAAGTTTGCTTGCAGCCAGGAAGACCAGCAAAGGTGTGTTGTTCATGCCTTTTCAATCAGTACAATTCAGTTTACACTTCTCAGGTTACAGGGAATGGCCCAGGGCGGAAGAGGAAAGCGCTGACAAGAGAAACTCTTGAAAAAATGAAGCTACAGAAGAAGAGAAAACTGATGATTCACTCAGAAGAGCAAGAGAAGGAGAATGAGCTTCCTATTATTGTTGCATCACCATCCCCTCCTCAAAGATTGACCCGCTCTCATAAATGTTAACCAATACATCTGTAGCTAGTAGATTAGTATTCTACTGTATGAGAGCAATTATCTAAACCTTCCTCCCCAAGAAACATACAGTATCATTATTTCAGGGATATTGCCTGCATCAAATTATCAACCAGAGAACTACCAGAACAGATATTAAATGAGATCTGTGTCCTGTGTCCTGTGTCCTGGGTTCCCACACTGGTGCAGACAGTCAACTTTAAACAGAAATCAAGCTCTTGCACTTGCTCTTATCCTTTCAAAGGAGATATGAAGCAATTCTGAGAGGCATAAGGCTACCATACAAATTATAAGCCAGAGTATTGTAAGAGAAAATTCAAATGGGTGAGATACATTCTCCCATCATCCCATGTTCCCACGAGGCTGCCCACTTCTGACTTCAAACAGAAATTAAGCTCTTGCACTTGCTCTTATCCTTTCAAAAGAGATATGAAGCAATTCTGAGAGGCATAAGGCTACCATACAAATTATAAGCCAGAGTTTTGCAAGGGAAAATCCAAGTGGGTGAGATGCATTCTCCCATCATCCCATGTTCCCATGTGGCTGCCCACTTCTGACTTCAAACAGAAATTAAGCTCTTGCACTTGCTCTCATCTTTCCAAAAGATGCATGTAGCAATTCTGAGGAACATAAGGCTGCCATACAAATTATAAACCAGAGTATTGTAAGAGAAAGTTCAGAAGGGTGAGATGTATTCTGTCAATGTCACATCATCTCATGTTCTCATGAAGGTGCTCACTTTTTACCTCAAAACAGAAATAAGACTCTTCCAGGTTTCTAAATTCTGGTTGCCTCCAAAAAATTCAAAGCTATTCCAGAGGGTGTGATGTCTCCATCAAAATTATCAACCAGAGTATTACAAGTTAAAATCTCTAATGACTGAGCTTACAGCCTGGTCAGTCCTCCTGTGGTATGACTATATCTTTCTCTTTTGTTCTGTACTTCTTTTCAGATCCAGATGAATAGAATATCAAGTCAAGTATAATTGTATATGTATAAAATCAAATAGCTACATGGGTAGGATATTTTTTATGCTTGAGATTCAATAGAGAATTTTAAATTGGGAAACCAGAATAAAAAACAATACCTCATTCTTAATCAGAGTTATACTGAGTTCCAAGAATTGAGACCTTTCCTTTAGACTTTCCCAATGACTTCTTGTTTCCTGTGGTTAATTGGTCTCCCATCTGCGCGATCTCCAAAGGATTTTGAAGTTCGAACCATTCACAGTACTTGTTACACTGGTGCTGAAGGGGAAACAGATTGAACGCTTCCCCAAGATTTCCATCGCCAAAGAGGTCATTACCAAGTTGCCTGCCAGACATGTCTGTTATTGGGTATTGTGAAAAAAACAGCTGGACTTATGGTGCGGTCAGGATTTGGGGATCTGTGAGACAAACGCCAATGCCTGGAAAGAAAGGTAAGAATCCGATATGAGCTGCTGGAGCGTTTAATGTTACCTTGGAAGTCTGAGACATAAGCGAGACCTCCAGTGATAGCGTATTGAACATGCTGGATGAACATCAAAAATTCCGCCAGATCATAGTCAGGTTCATCAGGTAAGAGCTCAGAAGCAGCGCTTGCATTGTGCAAGTACTTGATGAAGTCGGTCTTCTCTCCTGGAAGCATCTCTTCCAACAAGTAAGCGGCACGATTGGTTGTTGGCGATGGACCACTGTTATCAAGTGGCTTCTGAGCAATAGCCATTCCAGCTTCGACAAATCGAAATTGGAAAACTGTGAATGGTGGAGGTTTTCCGGAGGGGTGCCGCGCCATGAAATGTTCCATGAAATGGTACGCAGTCTTCAGAAGCGAGTTAGCCCAGATAAGGAGCTTACACTCTTCAAAGATAGCGCTTTCTTCTTCCGCATATGGCATTCGCACCATCCCACCACCCCGCTTACTCCTATATGGTCGTTTAAGAGCCACAGAAAGACTGCACCCCTTTTTGTTTGAGGAATGTGCAAGGTGAGCCAGCATCCCTAATCCAGTCAACGGATAATGTGATCCATTGAAAGTCAACCTTGCGGGAGATGTAGTTTTGAAAGAGCCAACTCCAAGGTATACCTCTGGGCGTGGGTCATAGCGAAGTTGAGCATCGAAGGGCTCCGCATCTGGCCCGAGCATATCGACCCTCATCTTGGTGGGTTCTGCGATGAGCTCCGCTAAGGTGGGCTGCGGGAGATTGTGGAAGGCAATCGGTTCATGCAAATAGGGATCTGCATTCAAGTAAAGCCAGGATGTTAAGATATCTTATTCAGACCAAATTCAGACAACGCACTGCTGGCCAATTTTCCATCCGTCAATTTAGCCCCACCTGCAAGAAATCCCTGTCTTAAAGTTTCTGGATTGAATGAAAAGACTCTTTTAGAGGTTGCGACGCTCAAGGTAGCAGCCAGCCTAAGTGGCGCTAATAGTCTCTGCTGGTTCCTTGCATCGGTGCGGTCCTTGGTGGAGACACTGGTAGTAAAGCGTGCGTCGCCGTTTTGAGGTCCAGCTTTTACAGATTCCGCTCGGTTTGCATGCTCTTCTTCATTGGCATGTTCCTCTGCGTTCCAACCCTCTCCCGCAATTGTATCCTCTTCTTTGAGCAGTGGATTCTCTTCTGCATGCTCATCTTCGAACAGTGGATTCTCTTCTGCATGCTCGTCTTCGCCTGCTCCCTCCTCCTTAGAGTCCCTGCCAGAATCGTCCGAATCAACAGAAACAGGTGATGCCTTCCTGATCCCAGAACCTTTGCGAGCAGCCTTGCGACTTCCCTTGCCATGGCTAGCTAAAGCCTTTCGTTTGGTATGAAGGCCAAATCCAGCTAGGAGACCTGCGGTAGGGCCAGTCATTTCTGGGGAGTGGGAGCGCCCATTGTACAGCTGTAGAAAATGAGCATCAACTAGTACATTGCTGTGACATATTTGAAACAACGTACCTCTTTTTCACGCAGCGCTTCGATCTCCTTCCAGACAATAGGATTGAAAACAAGGCCAAAAATTGGCATTTTAGCGTTGGCTGGCATGGAAAAGATAAGACTGCCATCCTTCTTGCGAGGATTAGGTTTCAGAAACATGTCTCCGAAGTATGACTCCTCAGAGTATGGATCCAGCTTCATCCAACCTGAATCTCGAAGGACCATGTCATCAACGTTGAATGGAACTGATCCACAATATTCAAGGAGCGGATCGTGGAAGGTGTCTCGAATGAGCCTGGAAAGAGCTCTAGTAGAGATGTCTGAGCTGACGCGTAATCCTTCCTTGATTCCCTGTATATGGATTAAAATGATTAAAGTAAAACAACATACTCATAGCGACTCACATGTATTATGATTGGCTGACCTTTTGCATTGCAAGTCGGCTCGTATACATAGAGATTTATCTTCACTTGGCCAATCTGACTAGCAGTTAGCCCTTTGTATGCACGGCTGGACCAGGCTGAGGTCTGATTCGCATGCTGGCTGTGATTTGCAGAGTATCCCATAATGGTCTGGGATGGATAACACATGTCTGAAACTTTTGGGCTTGGGGCAGGTATGGCAGTCACACGACCGCCGGGAGCGTGTCCTCCTAAATTCTAATAAGACATTGGATGCAATAAAAATGAGAACGGACAAACCTTGTCTCTGAGAACGGACAAACCTTGTCTCTGAGAACGGACAAACCTTGTCTCTGAGATTCATTCACATTTTGTCGCATGGCATGAAAATTCAACAGGGGCACAGTCTGAGAGGCACCTGTGGCCCTGATGTTTCTTGCACCTGTGGACATGTCAACATATTAAAAATGCTATGAGATTGACTTTGAGCACCAGTATGAGTGACATTCCCAAACTTTGCAGCCGCCTCTTTTCTGTCGTAATACTGACCACAAGGACCACAAACATATTTTACATGCTGAGTAATATCTTCTTTTGCAATCCGTGGCTGTCCAGGCTGAATGATAGTGCCACAGGACACCCGTTCACAGCGAATTGAACGAGTAGCAACCGCATTTTCCGTGAACTGAAGTGGCATTGATTGCGGAATGGAGTAAAGAGAGAGAGGGGGGGCAGGAGATTTGAGGTCGGATGTGTGGACCAGCAGTTCCGTCAATTTGAAATGATCGGACTACAATTACCGGTCTTGATAACAAGCGATCAAGTTTCTTGCTGCAATACCACTTCCATGAGAGATGCCTCAGGCTAACCAGTTCAAGCCTGTCCATAAGTAAATCTAACATTCAATGACATTCGGGAACTCACCTTATTCAAAAATAGCACCCATCGAGGAAGTAGAGCCACACATACGCCGATTATGGAAGATGCGCAAAAATGACAAAGAGATTCTCAGGATTCTTTTAGATGATCACATCGATACAGATAGATACGGGCTTGGGTAGGTCTACCGTTCATTCATTTGTCTATTACTGAAAGTCAGAACCTCTAGTATAAATTCCTTTTGTAAAATTCGTTGGAACTTGGGCGTGGAATGGTCAAGGCGGCAAAATCACACTGTGGAGAGTATACATGAAGATGTTCAGGCAATCAGGCGTCTTTATCCATTGGCTGGGGCTCGTGAGATGAAGTCTATCCTTTTTCACGATCGGGATATGGATGTAGAACGGTAAGATCGGAATTCATCAACGCACTGGCTAGATTTAAATTTGAAACCTTGCAGAAGTCTGATAATCAGGTACTTCCACGCATATGAGTCTGACATGGTTAAGGAGAGAAAGGCTAGACGTCTCAAACGACGTCGCTTTTGGGCAGCAGGAGTCAATGACCTTGTTGCTGTTGACCAGCATGATAAGTGGAAACGATTTGGACTTGCCCTTCACATTGGCGAAGATCCCTTCTGTGGAGTGACTCACTGGCTCAGGGTTTGGCATAACAATAACAACCCAAAGCTTGTGCTTTCATACTACTTGGACTGGGCTGAAGTTTCTGGATGTGAGTCGTGTTTTGTTCCAGACTCACCCACCTCACTCACTTCCTCTTAGATATTCCTCTCATCACTCAGAGTGATCTGGGTTCCGAAAATTATGGAATTGCAAACGCACAAAGTATTCTTCGCCAATGGCATGATCCTCGCCTCGAAGGAACAGTCCAGCATCGATGGATGCGCAGCAAGAAGAATGTCAAACCTGAAATTGCCTGGTCGCAGTTCAGGCGCCGATTTGCACCAGGCTTCGAGACCATAATTCAGGAGGGAGTAACGGCAGGCTGGTATGATATGACTCGACCTCTTGATGTGTGAGTCTAAGCGTTCACTGCCCGTGACTTACAAAGAATATTAACATATATAAATGTAGCCTTGTGTTCCGTTGGCTATTTATTCCGTGGCTTCAGACAGAAATTAACGCCTACGTGGAGAGGGTTAACAACACTCGAAAGCGTGCAGATCGTAATAAAGTATTGCCTCATGGTCCCCCCAATGATATCTTTGCCTCTCCAGAGCGATATGGTTGTCTTGACTTCAAGGTGAGCATCCATGTCTAAATCAAGAGCTTGTATTGACTTTTATTTAAAGGTCAAGGTCGAGCCCGAGGCATTCGAATATGTTAGAGAAAAGTTTGCCCCACCTTCAGATCCAGTCTTCGAGCTTGTCCCCCCAATTTTTGCAGAGTATGCTGGTCAAGCATACGCGAAGATTGGTAGCCCCGAGCTTAATTCGGTCAATATCTGGCCAGTTTATTGTGAAATCGTGCTAAGCCTCCAAGATATCACAACCAACCGGGCAGGGAGCTGTCAGGACTACATAAATTCAGTGGACGAATGGCAAGTGGCAGAGAGCCTGCAGGAGATAGAGCCAGAAACACCCTATCCTTTGATTGATGGCCGTGCACTCTTTGGAGGGGATGAATATCTTGGCGGGGTAAATGAGGGTTGGGGACTTGGTAAGTGCACAATCCCTTCAATCTGGTCTTTCTAATGATGCGCTTGTCAGACACTGAGTTAGAACAACGGTTGGACGCTATGGAGGATGACAATGAGTTCGAACCAGGAGAGGTACATGGCCTTGTTTTTTCAGAAGACGAGGACAATGGCGCAAATCCCGAAGAGAAAGACAATTGGTAGACAATTGGTAGACCAACAAATAAATTACATTTTTTGCTTTCCTACATCTACCAATCAGAATAGACAAGCCTTTATAATTTCTATACATCCTTTAAACTAAAGTTGGTTGGCCAACAAAGGTCGATCAACCTCAAGAGATCTGTCATGCCTTGCGGGTGTTCAAGGTCCCCGGATACTCCGGAACACCAACAATGCACGGCATCGTCTGCCTTGCTCTGTTTGGTCATATTTTTGGAGCTTGGTGCTCTGGGTTTCCATACAAGTCAGGTCTCCCATCCGCCAAAAAGTGTGATCCAAACTGTGATTTGGCGGGTCCGTTTTGTGACTTGTCCTGCGAAAAAGTGTGATTTGGCGTGAGACGGGCTGCAAAAAGTGTGATTTGGTGTGATTTGTGGGACAAGTGTTGGCGCGGGCGACCGTGATCTGGGTGTGATTCGAACTCCGAAATCACAACACTTGGCTTGAGACCCACTACTTGCAGTGCTTTGCACTGCCGTCTGCACAACGAAATTTGGAAAATATGTTTGTACGTGTTGTACCGTGACTGCCACAAATCGGAGAGAAACAGACCTCTTCATCCAACAAGGCCTGAAATTTCTTGTGCTGAGACATGATGCCCACCATGCCAAATGATAATCGGCGCGTGCATCGCATCTGATGCCTATGGCACCATGAGAGTTGGGTGTGGAAGATTCAAAATTCCTAACGTGGTTCTAGTGCGTGACAATCTGTGACGAATATACAGAACCAAACAGAGTTTTCGGATTTTCGTTGTGCAGACAGCAATGCAAAGCACTGTACGTTACAACACTTCATTTGGCATTTTTTGTTTGGCAGACACTTGAAAATATATTGGTCAGAATGAGCTACGTACATCATCCAGATAACGGTACACATGTATATGCACGATAAGCGAAGCATCCACTCTCAGTGTAAACAGCATGCAACTCCATGATGACGCTGGGTTCCGGAGTCACTTGAAATTAGAAATTATGGAGAGTTGAAAGAGTTGCCTGGTGATGGGTCACGGAACTCGGCGAGAAGGCGGCTGAACTGGGAGTTCGGTGTGTATCCCCAATGTATCCCTATAAATCATTCTCTACATTACATAAACTGTTACGGTTTTGTTAACGTACAGAACTCAGAGTCAGACACAGTTGTGATGACGACTATGATTGGGTAAACTACCTGTTAATGTACAGAACTGTAATACAGGTAGTGTGAGTGTCGAGAGAAATAAGTATAAGTAAAAAACCTCACCTCAGAGTCAGACACAGTTGTGATGATGACTGAGGTGGGAAAAATAAGGTTTGTGGTTTATATACGAAAAACGGGTGGCTTGGAATAAAGACTAGCAAATAACGGAAGTATATGTAGGAGGGATAAAAAGGAAAGAGTGATCGGAGTGTGCAAACAAAACGTACGCGTAAACAAGGGAGGTCACGAGGTGTCTCTTCTAACAGGTTTAAGCAATTCAGGTGTCCTCAGTGTCATCAATTATTCAAACTCGAGTAGTGCAGAGTGGATCATGATGCATGATGGACCATCACTTACCGTACAACAGAGGAGATCTCTTCGATTTTCTCAGGCTCAACGCCAACTAGAACAGAGACATGTTCAGGAAGATTTGTGTTCAACAATTCGAAACAATAAGAAAGGAGCGCAACCATTGCCGTAGCTCAAGGATTGAAGTTTCCATATCGGAGGAATGGCATTGTTTGCATCATGTAGGAGAAGTTTAAGAGACTCGCCACTGAGATCGTGGGTAGAGATAGCTGCCTGATTGACGGTTCATGAAGACACCGCAGTGAAGAAGAAGAAGTGACGACATGAGGGGGAGAGGTTTTCTGTTACAGTGATGAGCAAAGGTGTAGGCTACTGGGGAGATGAACAACCACATGTTGGAAGGTCAAAGAACAGGGATGGCATGGGGCGATTCGCGAATCAAAAGGACAGGGCAAAACCGCCGCCAGAGGTCAACCATCGACCAACGTTGAACAGATCTCTGATGAAGAGCTCAGCTTCAGAACCGGGGATAAGGATTTTCGAAAGGCTGAGGACTCTTTAATTTGTATTCGGAAGGCCTGAACTGAATCGAATTCATGGGGCGAATGCTTTGTGGAAGAAAGGTCAGCGAAGGGGCGAAGCGTCAACGTGGACATTGAACACACCGGAAGCAACCCTTCTCGTTGTTCAACAACCCTCGATTGATCCCGGTAACGTTGCCGTCGTTAATGAAGTTCAGAATTGGTCTTGTGTAGACACACATCACTATTTAGTGACTCCTCTTGTGCAGGGCAGATGTCTCAATGCCCCGTACATTGCGTTGCATAGAGCCTACGCTAGAAAAAGTGAAAAGCCGCGAAGCAGAACCTTTTGTGTGGCGCGATGACAGGATTTGCATTTGCATCTCTGGTCTAGACTCTCATGTTGGAAAAACCCAGGAAGCCTTATAAGGCAGGTAATCACAGGAACGAATTGTAATCCAATTATAATCAAGGAGAAATGTACTATAATACATAGGGACAAATTATAAGGTACCAGATAATTGTAAATGAATCGAAAATTTGTAGTGAGCTCCTAGCTCAATTGTAATGTGTGCGTTTCTTACTAGTTAGTTGTCTTATTATTACGGAACAGTTGTTATTAGCAGGGATTGAACTTTGAGCCTATTGATTACTTACCTTGTTTTGACTTGCTTATTGACTTGTCTATACTTTCCACTGGGCTATGGGGGCATATTTAGGTACAACCTCTAGTTCTTCATAACGAGCACCGCGGCTGACCCTTCGACAATACAGAGTTCATACAGAGCACTGTTCTCCCTTCTCGTAAACTTAGCTATAGTTTCCCCACCCAACATCATATGCACATTCTCTTGCTTTATGGGGTTCAAGCACTTGTAAAGCTGATTGAAGAAGGTCAGTACATGCTTGTATTTTTCGAGTTCAAAGGTATATTCTTATGCTTGTTGTTTTTAGAGAAATTGTGCCCTCTTTTCCCGATCTTTTGGGCTCTTGAGAGCAGAGACCCAGATAATGGAAGCTTTCCGTGTCTAGAAGGCGGTGAGATATCCATGTATAGCATGTGATCGGTATTGCGTAGGATGAACAAAGTAACATAAGTACTCGCCTTATTCCTCACAATCCTATCCCAGCTCGTAAATGCGAAACACCCACCGTCTATAGTGTATACGTCCGTTTCTCGCAATTCCGTACCCTTCTGACAGCGTTCACGCATTAGATTTGAACATCGAGTCTTCATGTAGTATCAAGTCTTCACGTACTACGTGAAGACTCGATGTAAGGTGAGTAATCAAAATGTACATGACCATTACATTCTATCCCAGTTCATACAAATGAAACACCTGCTGTCCATAGCAATTCCGTCCTTTCTAGTGGCGTTCACACATTAAATTTGAATGTTGCGTCTTCACATATGTTTTGTTGTTGCCTTGTTTGTCTTCATGCATGTCGTTTCGATTTGTTGTATGTAGCAGAACGAAATCTAATACATTTTGTTAATAAAAAAATTTGTGTAACAGAAAATACGGAATTCAGTGTCGCATGAAACAAAGTTCTGTTGAAATATAAGATGGGGTACATGAAGTGTACTTACTTGCTGGCCCTTCGTGGTTTTCCTTTGTTGTTGTATACATACATCGGACATGTGTATACCTCATTGTTCCAGCTGTCGCAGACATCAACGTGTTCTGTAGATGTCCCTCATGCCATTGACCCAACATATTGTCATCGGGTACCTTGGTTAGGCTGCAAAAGTATTTCATTAGTGCTTTCATTTGTTGTCAACATCTTGACTTACAGTCTTCAGGTAGGTGTTCTATCTCGTCTTTGGAAGTGTTGTGAAACAGAGAAGTTGAATCTACGAAAATATGTTAGCGTGACAATAATCTACAGAGTCAAACTGACATACTTATCATTTGGCATCCCCCGGACTCCATTTATCCCTCCAAAACTTCAAAACATCGCTGTTGCTCATTTCCAGTGTCAAGACGATGTATCTTCATCCGCAGAACCGGCATAAGTAGTGTTTAAAGGTTCAGTTCAGTCCGGTTTTTTGCCCCGAAAACGCGCAACCGTGGACCGCAACCGGTCCAGGACCGACCCAGATATTGAGGGAACCGAACCGAACCACCTAGGACCGGTCTTTTGCGGTCCATGATACCGGTTCAGACCGATCCAGACCGGTTTTTTTGCGTATAATTTATTATACCAATATAAACCATTTGTATCTCAACTATTATTACTCTGAAAAATAAACAGGTTATATAAAATAGTAAAGCATATAAATACCCATCATTCTACCAATTTTCAAGAGATTTAATGAAGATTTGACATAGCTATGACTGAAACCGAATTACATCTCATAGAGACTTGGGTAAAATATGGATTTGGTTATATCTTTCTCAATTCTTAACCGTTTTTGATGAAACAAAAACCCAATAAAAGGCAATAAACGTGGTTACAAGGCTATGTAACGCACGTGACCGTTTAACTGGTTGCAACCGATTAAAACCGGTCTTTGAACGGTTTTAAAAGATTTTCGAAATGAGGCAACCGGCAACTGGACCAACCCCAAATTGGGGCAACTGCAACCAAAAAAAAGACCGGTCCATGGTCCGGTTCAGTTCGGTCCACCGGTTTTTTGCGGTCCTATGGACTGAACCTTTAAACACTAGGCATAAGTAATGCAGAATGCTCCATGAAAAGTGCCGAGTGCTTTGAAATGACCATGCTGGTTAGTGTCGTGCATGACATCAAATGCGAGGTAGGTACTCACCTTTCATCGCATTTCCACAGCTCACGACCTCTCCCAGCTTCGTCATGCGAAATGCAGCCTTTCTGTGGAGTATTCATCCGTTTGGGCTCCTTGACCAACAACCACCAACATCTCGATTTGGCACCCCTAGGACCCCGAACGGCAAGGGGACAGCTGGCCGTTTAGGACGACTCTAAGGCGAATTCTTGGAGCTATCTTAT